CGAAGCACGCGCGGCCGGCGGAGCTGCGGCTAGCACCCCTGACGAGGGTGCTCACGCCTCCCCACGATGTGGACAGCCTCCCCCACCTGCGCAAGTTCTCGCCGAGCCAGGTGCCCATGCAGACACGCTCCTCTATCCTTCTGGCGGAGGGGCCGCCTCCCGAGGAGCCCGCGGCCCGGCCTGGCCTCGTCGAGATCCCGCTGAGCAGCCTGGAAGAGCCCACGGCTGAGGATGACGGAGATGGGAGTCCCCCTGGTGCTGAGGATTCCTTAGAAGAAGAGGCATCTTCAGAGGGAGAGCCCCGGACCGGGCTGGGATTCTTCTATAAGGTGAGAGTCACCTGAGCAGGTGGGGGAGGGGCCAGGTGGGTAGATGGATGGATGGTCAGGGATGGGTGGGCGGGTGGGTAGACAGGCAGTTGCATGGATAGGGCTTTCCCAATGGATGGACAAACAGATGGAACGGGGGTGGGGGGGGGGGGAACAGAGGTGGATGAGTGGTTAGCCAGGTGGCAGCTGGCAGACAGACAAGGTGTGTATGTCCAGATGGACACATAGATGGGGCGGGTGGATAGACAGAGGGAGAACAGGTAGTAGACAGTTGGACAGGGCTGGGCGGATGGATGGATGGGTGGGTGACGGACAGATGGATAGGAGTGGGTTTAGACAGATGGGGCTAGGGTCCTCTATGGTATCCCCTCCCTCCTGCTCCCTCCTTCATCCCCTACCGGCTCCCCTTCCTGACTCTTCCATATCCAATCACTCTTCTTCCTGTTGGCATCCCCAGCCTGGGCCACCACCTCTTACCTGGACACCTGCAGTCATGTCCTGATTGGTCTCCACTGCCCACCCCTCACCACACACCAATCCCTGGCCATTTTCAACTGAGCGGTCAGCAAAATTTATTTAAAATGTAAATTGGACCTTGTCACCCCCTTATTTCAAACCCTTCTGTAGGTCCTCTTTGCTCTTAGAATAAAAGTCTTTCCCATGGCTGTAGGCTCTGCTTGCCCCTGACCTCATCCTATGGCATCCTCCCCAGCTCTGCATCCCAGCCACACTGGCCTCCCTGCTGTTCCACACCTGCTAGGCTTGTTCTGGCCTCAGGGCCTTTGCACTTGCTATTCGCACTGCCCAGAATGCTCTCCTCACCGCTCACCCCCACCCAGTTCAGTCCTCATCATCATTCTCCGAGGTTGCTTCCTCTGGGAGGCCCCTCTCTCGGTGTCCCCAGGCCAGGATAGGTCCCTCCCCACAGTGTAGACTGACAGCAGCCTCTGCTGGTGTTCACCAATGTTGGTGTGATACCTGATTGCCTTCCTCGCTGGGTTAAGTGCTTGGTGTGCCCAGAACCCAGCATGGGGCTGTGCGTACAGCAGGTGCCCACCAAGTGTCTTCAGAACAATTACAAACACTCAAGGACAGGCGAGCGGCTGGCAGGCTGGGTCGACACAAGGTCAGACTCCAGCCGAACCAGGGGAGGGACAGCCAGCTACACTTGGTGCCTGCCCCCAGGATGAAGACAAGCCCGAGGACGAGATGGCCCAGAAGAGGGCCAGCCTGCTGGAGCGTCAGCAGCGGCGGGTGGAGGACGCACGGCGGCGGAAACAGTGGCAGGAGGCCGAGAAGGAGCAACGGAGGGAGGAGGCTGCGAGGTGAGGCTGGACCCAGCCTGGGGAGCCTCCCACCACTGGCGTCCCCACAACCTGACTGCTTCGATCCCCTCAATCTGCAGGCTGGCCCAGGAGGAAGCAGCCCCCGGGCCCCCGGCCCCCGCAGCTCCTGCGGCCCCTGCCACCCGGGCCCCAGCCGAGGAGGAGGTGGGCCCCCGGCGGGGGGAGTTCACGCGGCTCGAGTATGAACGCCGGGCCCAGCTGAAGCTGATGGATGACCTCGACAAGGTGCTGCGGCCCCGGGCGATGGGGAGCGGGGGGCCGGGCCGGGGCGGTCGGAGGGCCCCCCGGCCACGCTCCGGTTGCTGTGATGACTCGGCCCTGGCGCGAAGCACAGCCCGTGGCCTGCTGGGTGAGGCCCCCGTGGGTGTGTGGGACGGGTGGTGCAGGGCACATCCGCAGGGCCGAAGCGTGGGCTCCCAGGGGTCAAGGCTTCCACAAGGATGTGGGGCTGCAGCAGGGTAAGGGCCGTGGGCAGAGCTGGCCTGGGGTTCTCTCCACGGCTTAACAGGTGAAGGGCCGCTTCCCACAGCCTGGCGTGGTGGGGTGAGGTGGGGAGGTCATTCTCCAGCGAGGCTGCGCAGGGCGAGGGTCTTGGACAGGGCTGACCGCACATTCCCTCACCAGCCGGCCAACTAAGGTCCCCTGGACATATGTGGAGGTAAGGGGACTTCAGGTGGGGCCTGACCCAACACCCTCTGCTCCCAGGCTCTCGGCTCAGCAAAGTCTACTCCCAGTCCACCCTGTCTCTGTCCACTGTGGCCAACGAGGCGCCCAATAACCTCGGCGTGAAGAGGCCCACGTCTCGGTGAGTTTAGCCTGGGCAGGCAGCCGTTTGTGTTCCAGGTGGCCTCTCAGAGAGAGGGGAGAGGGGAGAGGGGAGAGGGAGAGAGAGCCTTAGGAGGGTGATCTGGCACGAGGGTGTGCATCTGCCACCAAAGATGCAAGGCTGCACACCTGAGACGGGTGTTCAATGTGCCCGGGGCCGGAAGAGGGCCTTGCGTGGACTTGGGAGCCCAGATGATGTCAGTGGATGCATCCTGCCTGCTCGGCTGTGTCCTGGGCTCGCCCTTCCCGGGTCCCACCGCACACTGATTGGGAGGCTTCGTCCACCGCTGACCACACCACACCCCACCCCACCCCCCCCCTCCCCCCGCAGGGCTCCATCTCCATCCAGCCTCATGTCCCCAAGCCGCCTGCCTGGCAGCCGAGAACGTGAGTGGGAGAACGGCAGCAACGCCTCCTCCCCGGCCTCAGTGCCTGAGTACACGGGTAGGTGGGACTTCAGGGGGTGAGCACCGGGCCCCACCGGCGCCCCAGGTCGTCCCTGCTGACCGCCCCGCCCCCTAGGTCCACGGCTGTACAAGGAGCCGAGCGCCAAGTCCAACAAGTTCATCATCCACAACGCCCTGTCGCACTGCTGCCTGGCGGGCAAGGTGAACGAGCCGCAGAAGAACCGCATTCTTGAGGTGGGCTTGGGCCGGGGCTGGCGGACTGGCGGCGGGCAGGTCGTAGGGGCCCTGCTGGCCTGGCTAACTGCTTCCGCCCCCCACCCAGGAGATCGAGAAGAGCAAGGCCAACCACTTCCTGATCCTCTTCCGCGACTCAAGCTGCCAGTTCCGGGCCCTGTACACGCTGTCCGGGGAGACGGAGGAGCTGTCGCGGCTGACAGGCTACGGCCCCCGGACGGTCACGCCCGCCATGGTGGAGGGCATCTACAAGTACAATTCGGACCGAAAGCGCTTCACCCAGATCCCCGCCAAGACCATGTCCATGAGTGTGGATGCCTTCACCATCCAGGGGCACCTCTGGCAGAGCAAGAAGCCCACCACTCCCAAGAAGGGCAGCAGCACCCCCAAATAGCCCCGTCCCGGGTGGTCCGCAGGCCGGGCCCCATGTGCTCTGGCCACCGCCCTCCTGGGGGACAGCCCAGAGGACAGTCCGTTGGTATGCCCGGGTCCTGTCTGTCCCCCCGTGACCTCGCCTGGGTGGGGCTGGAGTCCCCACCCCCTTACTTTGGTCCCATCCTGCCGTGGGGGCTGAGCTGGGAGGTTCAGGGACTCAGGGCTCAGCTCAGTCCCCCGTCTGTCCTCCCCACCTTCTCGAATAAAGTAATTTAAAGAGAGCTCGGCTGAGGCTGGCTGGGGTGCCTGGTGACATCTCTGCCCGAGACGGTTTCCTATACTCGCCGGCTGTTCCCTGCCTCCCGTTCCCTCTTGAACTTGCTCCAGCCTCTCCTCTGCCCCCTCGACACGACCCGGCCCCCAGAGCCCCGTGGCCGCTTCCCAGCTGCCTCTTAACTGACTTCCTGGGCACCTGAGGCCTCTGGCCAGCCCTCCCCGCCCCCGCTCGCTTCAGTTTTCTCCTCAGTGTGGCTGTTATTATCGGCCAGTCCTGGCATTTGGTTCTTGGCCAACTGCTAAACGTGATCTCTCCTCCAGCTGCCTGCCTACGTTTCTAGGCTCCGTGACCGCCTCTGGGCCGGGGGTTCCTGTTTCTCTCCTCTGAGCTGCACGTCCAAGGGTCTGGTTGCCGCCTTGGCATGGCCGCTGGACGTCTCAGGTGGAGGAGCTACATCACAAGCTCGAGCCGGGCGGAGCTCGGGTCTCCCTGCAGCTCAGACTCTCCACCGCCACTGGATCCCACACATTCACCTCCCGAGGGCCTCTCTGTCCCCGTGACTGCACCCCCAGTCACCTCCTGCCACAAGCCGGTCCCCACAGCAGCCTGCCTGGCCTGTTCAGGGCACAAATCCGGTTAAGTGCCCGAATGCTTAAAATCCTTTACTAGCTTAGAGCCCGCTAATGGCTTCCGGGAGCTTAGGACTAAGGACCGCACCTAGGCCATGGCCCATGGCTGAGGTCTGGCTCCTGGCAGCTGTCCAGGGAGAGAAGCGCCTTGCTAAGATCACAGAGCTGGTTGGGGCCCGCCTGCCTCCGGAGCTCTCAGCCCAGTCTCTCCCCAAGGGGAGGGGGGTGCCCTCATCCAAGGAAGAAGGGTTCGTGGTGGGGAGGCTGAGTATCTCTATCTGCTGAGAGGGAGGGGCGCAGGGGCCCCCTCCAGGCTCAGGGCCTCAGGCGGCAGAGAGACTGGCCTCTCGGAGCCCAGAACTGGCTCTGCGGGGTTAGGGTGGAGCGTGTGCCCTGGCCTGGAGCCCAGCTGCCCCACCTCCCCACACCGGCCAATCTGGGGGGTGGGGTGGGGGGCAGGGCGGCACTGAGCTGGCAGTCCCCAGGGGCACCGAGGCAGTAGGAGAAGTCGGGGAGGAAGGAGGCTCAGACCAGAACGTCCAAACACAAGCTTCACTGGGGGAGCGGCGGGGGGGTAGGGGATGGGAGTCAGTCTTCCTTCAGGCTCCCGAACACGGCGGCCGGCACGCTCTGCTGCTCCAGGCGCACCTCTGGAGGTGGGGCGAGGAGGACGCAGTCACCTTCCAGGTGGGGGTCCCGCCCCCGCCTCCGCCCACCAGCCCGCCTGGCCAGCCGGCCTCTTACCGTTGGGCTCCAGGTCCATCTCGTCCTCGTCCTCGCCCAGCTCGATCTCCTCCGGGTTGGCCTGCTGGGCCAGCTGGGCCAGCTCCTCCCGGGAGGCGTCACTCCTGGGGAAGGCAGGCGGCCGGGGGAGGGGGCCACACTGCTCAGCTGGGCCCAGCAGCCCCCCAACCTCCCTGCCCCTCCCCTCCTGCAGAGCTGGCCGGCTCCCAGCTCGGCTCCACCGCCCCGCCCTCACCTCACAAACAGGATCTTGCTCTGGGCCCGTGAGGGCTGGTCCTGCTCAGCCTCCGCCGCCAGCTGCTCGGCCCGCTGTTCCAGCAGTTTCATGTCGTCCATGCCGCTCTGCCCAGGGGCCAGGTCGGACACTGCGGGGGGAAGCGTGGGGGTCAGATGCCGTGGGCAAGCTGTCCTCAACCACGGCCTTAGGTGCCTGCCTCGGTCTGAGTGCTGCTGGGCGCCCCCCGACCTGGGCCTGAGGCCCTGGCCCTCGAGGAGCTCCCAGCCTGAGGCAGGGGAGGCAGAGGAGACCCTGATGCTCCCAGACCCGGGAGACCACCACTGGGCCACAGCTGCTCACCAGTGCCCGTGGCGCTGCCCGTCACCTTGAGCATCTGGGAGGCCATGAAGTTGACCTGAGTGTTGTACGTGGCCTGCACGCTGCGGCGGATCCGCAGCATCTCCCGGATGGTGTCCTCGTTGCCGTGCCGGACCTCGAAGTCCTTCCACGTCTGCCAGAAGGCCCCGGTCGTCTGCAGAGGGGCAGGGCCGGGGGACATGAGCCGGCTGGCTCAGCCGCAGACTCCCACACCCACGGGCCCGGGGCCCGTCCCTACCCGGGGGTCACAGATCTGCGAGCAGAAGCTGTAGATGGCCCGGGCGCGGTCGATCTCCCCGAGCTTGCACTCCATGTCCGCGAACCGCAGGCACATCTCCCGGGCGTGCTCGTCTGACAGCACCTGGGCGGGGTCGGGAGGGATCAGGGAGGGTGGGATGTGAGGCGGAGGGGGCCGCCCCTCTGGGGGAGCCCTGGTGGTTCCCAGCACACCAGGCCGGCCCCTGGGCGGGCGGGCCTCCCCACAGACGCCGCACACAGGCTCGCTCGGATACCCTGCCTACAGGACCCCTTGTTCCCCCTCTCTAGCCCCAGCTCTGCACCCCACCCCCTGCGGCGGGCACCTCGATGGCCTTCTGATAGATGCTGCGGGTGTGGGTGACCCCGTAGATCTCGGCCGCCCGCTTGATGTAGATGTTGAACATGTCGTATTGCTGGGCGGGCTCCACGGCCCTGGTGGCGCGCTCATACACGGCCATGGCGTGCCGGGCCAAGCCCCACTCCTCCTCCAGCTGCGCGTACAGCAGGTACAGGGCTGTGACAGGATGCAGCGGGGGGGGGGGGGGGGGGGGGGGGGGGGGGGGGGCGGGTCAGAGGTCAGTGGCTGGGCCCGTGATGCCCCCTCCAACCCCCGCCACCCCACCGAGCCCACCTGACCCTCCTCACTCTTTGCGTATTTGGGAGGGCAGCCATCCAGTGCCTGCTCAAACAGGTCCCGTGCCCGTTCCAGCTTCTGGCCCCCGTAGCGGGCGATGAACTTGGTCAGGTAGGTACTCCAGATGTCGGACACGTTGGGCCACTTGAACAGCGAGATGCCGCGCTCGTACGCCTACCCCGGGGGGGAGTCGTGTGAGTCCGCAGGGGGAGACTCCTTAGGGCTCAGCAAGTAGGCCCCTTGTCTGCCCACCTCTCCCCATCCCACTTCTCCCTGTGATCATGCAATCAAAGCCCAGCCAAGAGTGTCTGTGCGCTGCCTGTCTCCCTGGACAGACTGCAAGGACCCCAAAGACAGAGCTGGACTAGGGCTCACTAGGATCAGTCAGTGACTTTATGGCTGAAGAGGAGGGTGGAACCTCAGCTTGCAAACACTGGAGCCCGGTGTCCCGGAAGAAGGTTCACCACCCAGGCAGAGGGGCGGGGCCTGCCACTCAGGCAGAAGGGGCACTCGCACGCGTGTATGATTTCCCCATCCATGTATGTTCACAGTCTCCACTTGTACACGACAAAACCTCAGACAGTGGGGCAAAGCCCCGCCACACGTACACGTGCACATGGAAAACACCCCACGTGCCTAAAACCCATCGCCTGAGCAGCAAGGCAGGCGCACCCCCGCACACACAGGCAGAACTCCGTGCCTGTGACAGGCTGACCTGTGTCCCCCCCAAATTCAAGTTGAAATCCTAACTCCCTGTACCTCAGAACAAGACTGTGTTCTGAGATAAGATCTTTAAAGAAGCAACTAAGTTAAACAGAGAGGACTTCCCTGGTGGCACAGTGGTTAAGAATCCACCTGCCAATGCAGGGGACACGGGTTTGAGCCCTGGTCCAGGAAGATCCCACGTGCCGCAGATCAGCTAAGCCTGTGCGCCACGACTACTGAGCCCGCGAGCCACAGCTACTGAAGCCCACGCGCCTAGAGCCCATGCTCCACAACAAGAGAAGCCACCGCAATGAGAAGCCCGCGCACCACAACAAAGAGCAGCCCCCGCTCGCCGCAACTAGAGAAAGCCCGCATGCAGCAACGAAGACCCAACACAGCCAAAAATAAATAAATTTAAAAAAAAAGAGAGATTAGGGTAAATTTCATTCCAATACAACTGACAGCCTCACAAAAGCAGAGCTGGGCACAGGAGGAACACCAAAAACACACAAAAAGGTGTCCACGTGAAGACACAGTGAGAAGGCAGCCTCTACAAGCCAAGGAGAGGGGCCTCAGAGGAAACCAGCCCTGCCGACACCTTGATCTCGGGCTTCCGACCTTCAGGACTGAGAAAACACATCTCTGTTGTTTAAGCCTCCCAGTCGGCGGTGATGGCAGCCCGGGTAGGGGACAATGCCGTCCGGGGCCCCCTCACCTTGAAGCTCTCTTCAAAGTACTTGTGCTCCTCCAGGAACATGGCGTAGTTGATGACGATTTGGGGTGTGGCGATGCGCAGGTCCAGGATGCGGTCATAGACGGCTTTGGTGGACTGTGGGGCAGGGGGCCGGTCAGAGCATGTCCCGGGGGTGGAGTCAGCGGCCCCCCGCGGGGCGTGTCCCATCCCACGCCCCCATCCCATCCTGGCGGCTCACCTGGAAGGTGCCGAGGCTCTCCTCCAGGTCGGCCAGCATTGACCACACCTTCAGAGACTTGTATACGCGGTTCTGCACGGGCTCCGAGCCGTCGAAGTACTCGGCGCGGCGGGCGGGCAGCGCCGTCGCCTTCTGCACGGGCAGCGCCAGCAGGGGGAAAGCCGCGGGGGGTGTCCAGGACCAGATCACACAACCTGAGGCTCCCCCACCCCCTCCCAACCCGGGCTTGTGTTTACTCGCAGCAGCCGCAAGGCCTGGTCGTAGTTCTCGTGCCGGAGCTCCAGCTCGCCACACTCGCACCACACGCTGGCCAGGTCGTCCACCTGCTTGAAGCTCACCTTGGTGGCTTTCTCCAGGATGACGCGGGCCTGTGGGGCGGGCAGAGGCCAATCTGAGACCCCGCCCGCCCGCCTGTGGGCGCTGGGCGGAGGACCTGTAAGTACTCGCAACACGGCACTCACGTCATCCAGCTGCCCGTTGTCCTCGTAAAACTTGGCGAACGAAACCCACAGGGTGTGGGGCTTGCCGGTGGCCTTGAAGGGGTCCACAGTCTGCACGGCCTCCGTGTACGTGTTAATGATCTGGGCAGGAGGAGTTGGGTCAGGCTGGGCAGGGCCCTGGTCGGGGAAGGCGGGGCCTGGGGACAGGGGGCGGGGCCGCCACGTACCTCCCTCGGGCGGCCCTCGTGCAGGGCCACGCGCTTGTGCCACTCGTGCACGTGGTGCGGGTTCTGGCGCAGCAGGACGCTGTTGAGGAGCAGGGGCCGCCGGCTGATGAGCTGCTCAAAGCGAGCCAGGCGCAGCTCCAGGTCCACGTCGTCTGGGACCCGTGGGAAAAGCCGGGAGTGGGGGGGAGGCCTCAGCACGCGGCCCCCGGCCACCTCCGTCTCTCAGGTCTCTCTCCCTTCAGCCCCCAGCTCCCCCACACTGTCCATCCGGGCACTCCCTCCCTGAGCTGCCCCAGGGCCACCCTGACCTCACACTTGCCCTGGGGCCAAGCTACTCTGGAACTCCCTCCAATCCCCACCATTCCTCCCAGCCCTTCTTCCCTGCCAAGCTCTGGCCCAGGCCCCCCTCCCCACGCCTGCTGTCCAGCCAGCTCTCCCTTCCCACCAGTGGCCGGCCCAAGCCCCACTGAGATGTGTTCCCAGTCCTGGCTACCCGCCGAGATCCCACCCGCAGCGCCCATTCAGACTCCCTCCCTGCTGGCCTCTGACCCCAAGCCCCACACCTCCCCTGACCCAGCCACTCGGGACCCCTCCGAGCCCTGCGGTCCACCCCTGCTGCTCACCTTCCTCCTCCCGCCCCAGCTCCGAGGCCGTCTCCATCTTCGCCGCAATCATGCTCTCCTCGAACTGGGCATAGCTGTCGAACACCTGGGTGAAGTCCCGCACGGTCATCACGGTCCGGATGGCCTCCTCGTACACGTCCCGAGCCTGTGGGGATGGGGAAAGTGCTGGCAGGGGAGAGGCACGTGTGCCCACCGCATGCACACAGGGCATCCGGCAGCACCGCCCTTGGCACCAGTCCCAAATCGGAACCCCCGCAGGGCCTTCCCCGGGCCTGCCCAGCTCCGTCAGCGCACGGCCGTGGTCGGAGCTCCCCTCCCGTCCTCTGCCAGAGTGAGCTGGAGGCCCCAGCTCCTCAGCAGTAAACCAACAGTGACAGCCCCTCACGCAGAGTCACTGCGGGGCTCGAGTGAGACGCATAAAGGGTCTGGCCCCAGTGAGACCCAATAGGTGACCAGCCACCCTGCAGGGACCCTAACCTCAGCCTGCCACGGAGTGCTCAATCGTTGCTACAAAGTACCCCTCACGCCTGCCCGACCCCCTTCTGCAGCTCACATTCTCCCCGTCACCCCCCACACCAACCCCCGAGGGCAGCATGAAAGGAAAGTGCTGGCGTGGGCGAGGCGCATCCCCACCAAGGGCGGGCCCGTCGCTCTACCCCTGGCCCTGGCTGATCCTGCCCCTCTGCCTCTGCCTGGCCGCTGGCTCCAGCAGCCTCCTGGCCCGTCTCCTGCTGCCGGCCTCGGCCTGTGCGCTTCACTCAAAGTGTCAGCCTGAAGGGTCTTTGTAATACACACACCTGGTCAGGCCTATGTCCTGCTCACGGCTGGCTGGCTGGCGGCTCCCCACAGCAGGACACAGCCGGCCCCTCCTCAGCCTGCAGGACCCCCCTTCCCTAGTCCTTCACCACTCCCTCTGAGCCCCCTCCAGCTCCTCCTTCCCACTCTGCTCCCCCCGGCGCCCCCCTCCCCAGCCAGTCCCAAGCCAGCCCCTCTGGGGACCTCTCAGAGCTCCACACCCCGCCCCCCACCCCGGCCCCAAGCTCGCCACTCCATGGCCCGATGAGGAGAACAGCCGATGTGGACACTGACAGAAACACCAACACCTCGGGAGGGACCCTCACGCCGGACACCCGCTCGGTGCCCGAGTCCCAGTAGGCAAGGAAGTGACTGTCGCTCTCATTTTGCAAATGAGGACACCCAAGCTGAAGCAGGTCCAAGGCCAGAGCAGAGAGATCCAGGTCTGGCTGGCCTGAGGTGGGTGCACTCGCCGGCAGGGCCATGATGCCTGCCTCTCCCCACCTTCAGAAAGGCAAAAGCGGTCCACGTGCACGTCTTCTGCTCACACGCGTGTCCTCAGGCACCCCCCAATACTACGTGCTGGAGGGAGACCCCACCCCACTCCCGGAGCCCCACGTGCTCAAGCACCTTCTCGAAGTGGCCGCTGCGGATGTAGTAGTCGGCCAGCGAGCACCAGAGCTTGCCCAGCTGGTCGGTGAAGCGGGTGAGGCCCCCGCGGATGATGGCGTCCACACTGAGAGACTGCACCTTGTCTGGGTTCTGGGAGATGAGGTCGCAGAGCTCGTGCCACAGCTGCAAGGCATGGGAAGGAGCGTCAGCCTTGTCCCTGAGGGGGCGAGCCCTCCCGCCCAGCCGTCGCCCCGGGGCCCACCTGGTAGTTGGACTTGCCGGCCTTGGACACGAAGCGCTCGTCGTTCACCACGGTGGCCAGGCGCTGTGCGGCCTCGTCCAGCCGGTCACTCGACTTGAGGTACTCAATGTACTCCTCGGCACTCTCGGGGCTCAGCTGGGCACCCGTCCACCCGCCAGCTGTCAGTGGGGCCACAGGGCCGTGCCACCGTGCCCCTCCCACTCTGGGCTTTCTGTCAGCCACCCACCACTGTCCCGGACAAGAGCTCGCCCCGCACACCCAGTCATAGCCACACCTGTTCAGCCTGGGCCTCACTGGTCCAGCTCCAGCCCTGACTGGGCCCTGACTGGTCCAGCCTGAGCCTCACTGTTCCAGCCTGGGCCTCACTGGTCCACCCCCAGCCCTGACTGGTCCAGCCTGGGCCCTGACGGGGGGGGGGGGGGGGGGGGGGGGGGGGCGGGTCAGAGGTCAGTGGCTGGGCCCGTGATGCCCCCTCCAACCCCCGCCACCCCACCGAGCCCACCTGACCCTCCTCACTCTTTGCGTATTTGGGAGGGCAGCCATCCAGTGCCTGCTCAAACAGGTCCCGTGCCCGTTCCAGCTTCTGGCCCCCGTAGCGGGCGATGAACTTGGTCAGGTAGGTACTCCAGATGTCGGACACGTTGGGCCACTTGAACAGCGAGATGCCGCGCTCGTACGCCTACCCCGGGGGGGAGTCGTGTGAGTCCGCAGGGGGAGACTCCTTAGGGCTCAGCAAGTAGGCCCCTTGTCTGCCCACCTCTCCCCATCCCACTTCTCCCTGTGATCATGCAATCAAAGCCCAGCCAAGAGTGTCTGTGCGCTGCCTGTCTCCCTGGACAGACTGCAAGGACCCCAAAGACAGAGCTGGACTAGGGCTCACTAGGATCAGTCAGTGACTTTATGGCTGAAGAGGAGGGTGGAACCTCAGCTTGCAAACACTGGAGCCCGGTGTCCCGGAAGAAGGTTCACCACCCAGGCAGAGGGGCGGGGCCTGCCACTCAGGCAGAAGGGGCACTCGCACGCGTGTATGATTTCCCCATCCATGTATGTTCACAGTCTCCACTTGTACACGACAAAACCTCAGACAGTGGGGCAAAGCCCCGCCACACGTACACGTGCACATGGAAAACACCCCACGTGCCTAAAACCCATCGCCTGAGCAGCAAGGCAGGCGCACCCCTGCACACACAGGCAGAACTCCGTGCCTGTGACAGGCTGACCTGTGTCCCCCCCAAATTCAAGTTGAAATCCTAACTCCCTGTACCTCAGAACAAGACTGTGTTCTGAGATAAGATCTTTAAAGAAGCAACTAAGTTAAACAGAGAGGACTTCCCTGGTGGCACAGTGGTTAAGAATCCACCTGCCAATGCAGGGGACACGGGTTTGAGCCCTGGTCCAGGAAGATCCCACGTGCCGCAGATCAGCTAAGCCTGTGCGCCACGACTACTGAGCCCGCGAGCCACAGCTACTGAAGCCCACGCGCCTAGAGCCCATGCTCCACAACAAGAGAAGCCACCGCAATGAGAAGCCCGCGCACCACAACAAAGAGCAGCCCCCGCTCGCCGCAACTAGAGAAAGCCCGCATGCAGCAACGAAGACCCAACACAGCCAAAAATAAATAAATTTAAAAAAAAAGAGAGATTAGGGTAAATTTCATTCCAATACAACTGACAGCCTCACAAAAGCAGAGCTGGGCACAGGAGGAACACCAAAAACACACAAAAAGGTGTCCACGTGAAGACACAGTGAGAAGGCAGCCTCTACAAGCCAAGGAGAGGGGCCTCAGAGGAAACCAGCCCTGCCGACACCTTGATCTCGGGCTTCCGACCTTCAGGACTGAGAAAACACATCTCTGTTGTTTAAGCCTCCCAGTCGGCGGTGATGGCAGCCCGGGTAGGGGACAATGCCGTCCGGGGCCCCCTCACCTTGAAGCTCTCTTCAAAGTACTTGTGCTCCTCCAGGAACATGGCGTAGTTGATGACGATTTGGGGTGTGGCGATGCGCAGGTCCAGGATGCGGTCATAGACGGCTTTGGTGGACTGTGGGGCAGGGGGCCGGTCAGAGCATGTCCCGGGGGTGGAGTCAGCGGCCCCCCGCGGGGCGTGTCCCATCCCACGCCCCCATCCCATCCTGGCGGCTCACCTGGAAGGTGCCGAGGCTCTCCTCCAGGTCGGCCAGCATTGACCACACCTTCAGAGACTTGTATACGCGGTTCTGCACGGGCTCCGAGCCGTCGAAGTACTCGGCGCGGCGGGCGGGCAGCGCCGTCGCCTTCTGCACGGGCAGCGCCAGCAGGGGGAAAGCCGCGGGGGGTGTCCAGGACCAGATCACACAACCTGAGGCTCCCCCACCCCCTCCCAACCCGGGCTTGTGTTTACTCGCAGCAGCCGCAAGGCCTGGTCGTAGTTCTCGTGCCGGAGCTCCAGCTCGCCACACTCGCACCACACGCTGGCCAGGTCGTCCACCTGCTTGAAGCTCACCTTGGTGGCTTTCTCCAGGATGACGCGGGCCTGTGGGGCGGGCAGAGGCCAATCTGAGACCCCGCCCGCCCGCCTGTGGGCGCTGGGCGGAGGACCTGTAAGTACTCGCAACACGGCACTCACGTCATCCAGCTGCCCGTTGTCCTCGTAAAACTTGGCGAACGAAACCCACAGGGTGTGGGGCTTGCCGGTGGCCTTGAAGGGGTCCACAGTCTGCACGGCCTCCGTGTACGTGTTAATGATCTGGGCAGGAGGAGTTGGGTCAGGCTGGGCAGGGCCCTGGTCGGGGAAGGCGGGGCCTGGGGACAGGGGGCGGGGCCGCCACGTACCTCCCTCGGGCGGCCCTCGTGCAGGGCCACGCGCTTGTGCCACTCGTGCACGTGGTGCGGGTTCTGGCGCAGCAGGACGCTGTTGAGGAGCAGGGGCCGCCGGCTGATGAGCTGCTCAAAGCGAGCCAGGCGCAGCTCCAGGTCCACGTCGTCTGGGACCCGTGGGAAAAGCCGGGAGTGGGGGGGAGGCCTCAGCACGCGGCCCCCGGCCACCTCCGTCTCTCAGGTCTCTCTCCCTTCAGCCCCCAGCTCCCCCACACTGTCCATCCGGGCACTCCCTCCCTGAGCTGCCCCAGGGCCACCCTGACCTCACACTTGCCCTGGGGCCAAGCTACTCTGGAACTCCCTCCAATCCCCACCATTCCTCCCAGCCCTTCTTCCCTGCCAAGCTCTGGCCCAGGCCCCCCTCCCCACGCCTGCTGTCCAGCCAGCTCTCCCTTCCCACCAGTGGCCGGCCCAAGCCCCACTGAGATGTGTTCCCAGTCCTGGCTACCCGCCGAGATCCCACCCGCAGCGCCCATTCAGACTCCCTCCCTGCTGGCCTCTGACCCCAAGCCCCACACCTCCCCTGACCCAGCCACTCGGGACCCCTCCGAGCCCTGCGGTCCACCCCTGCTGCTCACCTTCCTCCTCCCGCCCCAGCTCCGAGGCCGTCTCCATCTTCGCCGCAATCATGCTCTCCTCGAACTGGGCATAGCTGTCGAACACCTGGGTGAAGTCCCGCACGGTCATCACGGTCCGGATGGCCTCCTCGTACACGTCCCGAGCCTGTGGGGATGGGGAAAGTGCTGGCAGGGGAGAGGCACGTGTGCCCACCGCATGCACACAGGGCATCCGGCAGCACCGCCCTTGGCACCAGTCCCAAATCGGAACCCCCGCAGGGCCTTCCCCGGGCCTGCCCAGCTCCGTCAGCGCACGGCCGTGGTCGGAGCTCGGAGCTCCCCTCCCGTCCTCTGCCAGAGTGAGCTGGAGGCCCCAGCTCCTCAGCAGTAAACCAACAGTGACAGCCCCTCACGCAGAGTCACTGCGGGGCTCGAGTGAGACGCATAAAGGGTCTGGCCCCAGTGAGACCCAATAGGTGACCAGCCACCCTGCAGGGACCCTAACCTCAGCCTGCCACGGAGTGCTCAATCGTTGCTACAAAGTACCCCTCACGCCTGCCCGACCCCCTTCTGCAGCTCACATTCTCCCCGTCACCCCCCACACCAACCCCCGAGGGCAGCATGAAAGGAAAGTGCTGGCGTGGGCGAGGCGCATCCCCACCAAGGGCGGGCCCGTCGCTCTACCCCTGGCCCTGGCTGATCCTGCCCCTCTGCCTCTGCCTGGCCGCTGGCTCCAGCAGCCTCCTGGCCCGTCTCCTGCTGCCGGCCTCGGCCTGTGCGCTTCACTCAAAGTGTCAGCCTGAAGGGTCTTTGTAATACACACACCTGGTCAGGCCTATGTCCTGCTCACGGCTGGCTGGCTGGCGGCTCCCCACAGCAGGACACAGCCGGCCCCTCCTCAGCCTGCAGGACCCCCCTTCCCTAGTCCTTCACCACTCCCTCTGAGCCCCCTCCAGCTCCTCCTTCCCACTCTGCTCCCCCCGGCGCCCCCCTCCCCAGCCAGTCCCAAGCCAGCCCCTCTGGGGACCTCTCAGAGCTCCACACCCCGCCCCCCACCCCGGCCCCAAGCTCGCCACTCCATGGCCCGATGAGGAGAACAGCCGATGTGGACACTGACAGAAACACCAACACCTCGGGAGGGACCCTCACGCCGGACACCCGCTCGGTGCCCGAGTCCCAGTAGGCAAGGAAGTGACTGTCGCTCTCATTTTGCAAATGAGGACACCCAAGCTGAAGCAGGTCCAAGGCCAGAGCAGAGAGATCCAGGTCTGGCTGGCCTGAGGTGGGTGCACTCGCCGGCAGGGCCATGATGCCTGCCTCTCCCCACCTTCAGAAAGGCAAAAGCGGTCCACGTGCACGTCTTCTGCTCACACGCGTGTCCTCAGGCACCCCCCAATACTACGTGCTGGAGGGAGACCCCACCCCACTCCCGGAGCCCCACGTGCTCAAGCACCTTCTCGAAGTGGCCGCTGCGGATGTAGTAGTCGGCCAGCGAGCACCAGAGCTTGCCCAGCTGGTCGGTGAAGCGGGTGAGGCCCCCGCGGATGATGGCGTCCACACTGAGAGACTGCACCTTGTCTGGGTTCTGGGAGATGAGGTCGCAGAGCTCGTGCCACAGCTGCAAGGCATGGGAAGGAGCGTCAGCCTTGTCCCTGAGGGGGCGAGCCCTCCCGCCCAGCCGTCGCCCCGGGGCCCACCTGGTAGTTGGACTTGCCGGCCTTGGACACGAAGCGCTCGTCGTTCACCACGGTGGCCAGGCGCTGTGCGGCCTCGTCCAGCCGGTCACTCGACTTGAGGTACTCAATGTACTCCTCGGCACTCTCGGGGCTCAGCTGGGCACCCGTCCACCCGCCAGCTGTCAGTGGGGCCACAGGGCCGTGCCACCGTGCCCCTCCCACTCTGGGCTTTCTGTCAGCCACCCACCACTGTCCCGGACAAGAGCTCGCCCCGCACACCCAGTCATAGCCACACCTGTTCAGCCTGGGCCTCACTGGTCCAGCTCCAGCCCTGACTGGGCCCTGACTGGTCCAGCCTGAGCCTCACTGTTCCAGCCTGGGCCTCACTGGTCCACCCCCAGCCCTGACTGGTCCAGCCTGGGCCCTGACTGGTCCAGTCTCAGTCCTGACTGGTCCAGCCTGCGCCCCAGTGGTCCAGTCTCAGTCCTGACTGGTCCAGCCTGCGCCCCAGTGGTCCAGTCTCAGTCCTGACTGGTCCAGCCTGCGCCCCAGTGGTCCAGTCTCAGTCCTGACTGGTCCAGCCTGTGCCCCAGTGGTCCAGTCTCGGTCCTGACTGGTCCAGCCTGGGCCCCAGTGGTCCAGTCTCAGTCCTGACTGGTCCAGCCTGGGCCCCAGTGGTCCAGTCTCGGTCCTGACTGGTCCAGCCTGGGCCCCAGTGGTCCAGTCTCAGTCCTGACTGGTCCAGCCTGCGCCCCAGTGGTCCAGTCTCAGTCCTGACTGGTCCAGCCTGCGCCCCAGTGGTCCAGTCTCAGTCCTGACTGGTCCAGCCTGCGCCCCAGTGGTCCAGTCTCAGTCCTGACTGGTCCAGCCTGTGCCCCAGTGGTCCAGTCTCGGTCCTGACTGGTCCAGCCTGGGCCCCAGTGGTCCAGTCTCAGTCCTGACTGGTCCAGCCTGGGCCCCAGTGGTCCAGTCTCGGTCCTGACTGGTCCAGCCTGGGCCCCAGTGGTCCAGTCTCAGTCCTGACTGGTCCAGCCTGGGCCCCAGTGGTCCAGTCTCAGTCCTGACTGGTCCAGCCTGGGCCCCAGTGGTCCAGTCTCGGTCCTGACTGGTCCAGCCTGGGCCCCAGTGGTCCAGTCTCAGTCCTGACTGGTCCAGCCTGCGCCCCAGTGGTCCAGTCTCAGTCCTGACTGGTCCAGCCTGCGCCCCAGTGGTCCAGTCTCAGTCCTGACTGGTCCAGCCTGCGCCCCAGTGGTCCAGTCTCAGTCCTGGCTGGTCCAGCCTGGGCCCCAGTGGTCCAGTCTCACTCCTGACTGAGCTTAGGCATCAGTGGTCCAGCCTGCACAGGCCAAGACCTGCTTTCATCACAAGCCCCTAAACAGCACCACGCTAAGCATTTCAAGACGCGTAAGAGACGTTATAAGTTCAGGAAAACCACACAGTGCCTCCCCACTATTTGCACCTCGACTCTCAGCCCTGCCTGTTATTTGTTTCCCTAGTCGTTTATCTCCTATTCCCTGCCCCTCCGTGGTTGCAGTTTTACTCTGATTTATGGGGTCAGGTAATATGTATCTGTCTGCAAAGTTAGACTGAAAACTCCATGGAGGCAGCAACTGTCTTAGCCACACTGTCCCCGGCACCTGTCTTAATACCTGACATGCTTACTAGCAAACTGTCTGGAGATTAAACACAGAACTCACAAACAAAACCCTGTCTTAAGAAACCTTGTTCCCATATTCTGTCTGTTAGGGCAGACAGTGTCCCAACGAGCCGGTTTCCGGAAAGTCTTGACCTGGGGGAACCGGCCCACCTGCCTGAGCCTGGCCCCATCTCGCCCTCTGAGGGGCTTACCTTGAGGAAGCGCCGGTAGCCCCGCACAGCGGTCTCAGGCAGGGGGTGTGAGCGCAGGAAGCGCAGGTACAAGGGCCAAATACGAGAGTGCTGTGTGATGGGCAACGCTCGGAGGGCACGGTCAAAAGTGCGGCGCGTGTGTGTGACGCGTCCCTGGTCCATCAGGAACTGGCAGTAATCTAGCCACAGCCGGGGCATCTGGAGGTGCGGGGAGAGGCAGGGTCTGAGCTGCCAGCACCACCACCAGGCCATAAAGACACCAGATGTCCATTGCAGCAGGACCCGGAAGTCCCGTCCCCCTGGAACCAAGTCTTGCTCAACCCTGAGTGCACAGAGGCCACAGGACTCCAACCCCCTGCTCTGTCCACCTCCGTGGACTCTGAGCCCCACCTCCCCACTCATCCCCTGGCCCAGCCAGGCCCCCTCCCCACCTTGTGCATGAACACAAAGGCCCTCTCGTGGCAGTTGTTGACATCTTCGTAGGCAGGGTCGGTCACACAGCGATGCTTCACCTGTGCCCGGCGTGCCTTCAGGTAGCGGTACCAGAGTTTGTAGCTGGGGGGGTGGGGGGAGAGGGGAGGGGCAGACAGTGATTGGTCAGCTTTATGGACCTCGGGACCCTTCACTCTGCCCCACGAGACAAGTGCTGGGAGAAGGGGCCCAGGGAGGGGTGACAAGTCTCTGCGATGGGGGAATGGCCGGGACGTCAGGGAAGGTGTGCTCACTGATCAGGGGATGTATATTCGGCGACACAACACATAGCAGTCACGTGGGACCTACTAGCAAGTTCTGGGGTGATTGGATAAGGTGGGGTGGGTGTGGGGCTGGGGCAGGCAGGGCAGCTGCAACCAATCTCACCTGCAGGGCAGCAGCTTCAGTGCCCGCTCATAGAGCTGATTGAGTCTGGGCTTCGGGGCACCCTGCTTAAACTCAATGTAGCGGAGCCAGCATTTGACGGAGAACTGGTTCCGCATGATTTCCTCCTCATAGGGGAGGTCCTCCTCCTCCTGCCAGGGCCGGGGTACAGGGAGAAGACAGACCTGTTCTCAGAGCCTGCGCGCAGCACCACTCCACTCCAAACTCCAGACCCCTCCCCAGGTCCCAGATCCCACAATCCTCACCATCGGGAGCCCGGTCACCAGACACCCAGATACCAGGAATCTGGTCCAGACCCTTCAGAATACTACTGCCTACAATCTGACCCAGACCGTCAGACTCCTTGGTCACAGCGTTCTAGGCCAGATATGAGACTGTCACCCAGACATCACTCTTTTGGCCTTCCTAATCAAGCTATCCACTCTGGCCCAGACCACCAGACTCTTTTGCCACCAAGACCCTGGTCCGACGCCAGGCCTCTGCCCTAGACGTCAAGTGTCACCTCCTCACAACATGGCTCTTCCCAGACACGAGACGTTTGGCACCTCAGGACCCCACTAGCCAGAGTCCAGCTCAACTCTGCCCCAGAACTCGGAAGCTAGACCCTTATCTCAGAAAGAAAGGTGTGTACAAGATGCCTAGCCTTTAACTCGAGACACCAAGAATCTAGTGAAGATACCAGGCTTCTACTTCAAACACCAAGCCTTTGACTCTTCAGGAGTCCACGGGCCATCGCCTGATCAGCTCCACATCACCCGGTCTTTACTTCTGATTCCAGGGTTCTCCCGGTCCAGACACCATGCCCTTATCACAGAAACTATAACGCTCAGGACCAAACCTAGACCGTTACCCAAGACACCAAGATTTTACCACTGAAACCAGAGACCTGGACTGGTCGTCATCCCTTTACTTCAAACACCAGGCCTCTCAAGATTGAGCTACGCGAGTCTCCTTTCTCGCCCACTCCCATTTCCGCCCCAGGCCCGGGACGCCAGGCCCTTAACTTCAACCACCTGCTCTTTGCTCAGGTCACCTGGGCTCTAGCACCAGACCTCTGCTCCTGACCAGCCTGGTCCGTACATCATGATCCGGTCTCTGGCCCGTAAGGGTACTCCTGCCCTCAGACCGGCATAACTTTGGCCTAGATCCCCCGGGCTGCCATGCCCGAATCTCCTGAGGCATCTAAGCCCCAGTGCCCCCAGGCAGGCCACCCCCGGGGCCGCCGCGGACTCACGAAGACAAGATCCGGCCGCTCGGGCCTCGAGAGGCGCGCCGTCACCACCATTTTTCTGGCACTCCAGGTACGCGCAGGAGTCGCGTTATAATGACGTCTCCGGCTGAAGGCCCACCCCCTCGAACCAGGCCCATTTCCTATTGGTTGAACCCTTCCCGATTGCGCGCCCTGCGTTGTTGACTTTCACGTAGACGCCCAGCTACCGGAAGCAGAGAAGAAGCGCCCGAATATGACGTCATCACGAAGCTCATCGGACCAATCAGGTTCAGCAGTGGGACCCTCGGACTCCCAATGGGCTGCTGTCTTGCTGGATGGTTGGCTTTGGGCGGAAGCGGCTTTGAAGCCTGAGAAGAGCGAGATGGGGGTGAAGCTGGAGGTGTTTCGGGTCAGTGAGCAATGGAGCGGTTGCAGGCCTGGGCGCGGGGTCTTCCTGGTTGAGGAGGAGGCTCTGAAAAGGGGGACCTCTGAGAGAGGGCGCTCTGGAGCGAAAGCTCCTGAGATTTGATAGGGACCTTTACGGTTGGAACCCTAGAGAAGGGGGCACAGGGTTCGGGGCTCTGGGAGGGCTCGTGTGAGGAAAGCCTTCTGAGAAGGGTGATCTGGGGAGGGGGTGGGATAATGAGATCTCAAAGAGATGCCTTTACTGTAGTACGAGCTTTTCTGTTCCTGGGGCGACTGTGTGTGTGTGTGTGTGTGTGTGTGTGTGTGTGTGTGTGTGTTTCTTTGAGAGGGAGTCTCCCGGACTCGAAGGGGGCTTTTGGAGGGGGCTCTTGGATTATGGAGGCTAGACTTTAAGGTGTATGGCTTCTGTACCCTTGATGGGAGTTTTGGGGTTCTGGGGGCGTGGGGAAGCACCACTGGTCTCTGTCAGGGGATGGTCCTCTAGGCTCTAAGCAGCCTCTGCACAGTTTGGGGGTGGTGGGGGTGACTCCTGGCTCTTCTTATCTCACCCCTGCCCTTCCAGATGACCATCTACCTCACCTTCCCTGTGGCTATGTTCTGGATTGCCAATCAGGCCGAGTGGTTTGAGGACTATGTCATACAGCGCAAGGTGGGCACAGGTTCATTCCGGGGGTGGGGGAGGTTATGGGGCACCAACCTGATGGGGACCAGTGTCTGCCTCCCCTGAGCCAACCCTGCCCTGGGTGTGGGGCTCTGGAGGCTCCTGGCTTGTGTATCCAGCTGTGACTTTGTCCCTACAGAGGGAGCTGTGGCCCCCTGAGAAGGAAGACAAGGTAAGCAACCTCCTTTTCCTCCCACCGGAGGAGGGAGGAACGTGGGTTCCTGTGGCCATCATGGGACCCTCAGTCATGGACAGGGAACCGAGAATGGAGGGACATGTGATTTCCTTATTGCCCTCTCCCTGAAGGTTGAAGCTAATCCCACTTGGACCTGGGTTATAATTGGCACAGGCTTCCAGTGTAGTCACTGAACTGTGAAGTGGTGGTCTGGGGGATTAAAGGGAGGGGTGCTGAGAAAGAGGTCCAGGCCCTGAGGTGTGTACGCCCCTCCTTCCTTCCCATCCCACTCCCTTACCCAGCGCCAAGAGCTAGAAGAATTCAAAGAAAGGATACGGAAGCAGCGGGAGGAAAAGCTCCTTCGTGCTGCCCAGCAGAGGTCCTGAGGCCTCCAAGTGCCTGAATCCCTGCCTCTCCACCCACAGAATGACACACATACACGGTTCTTCGTTGCTCGTGGAAGTGTTTTATTGTCTGCTTTGGGGGGCCAAGTGGGGCCCAGGATGCCTCAGGCCCTCACGGGGCTTGTGTCTGGGGCTGGGGGCTGCTGTTTCGACGGAAGCTGAGTGCAGTCGGGTCCTGAGGGGTGAGGAGGGGTTGGGGGCTGAGGGTCCCGGCTCGTTTCTGCACTCCATCCTGTGGATGCAGAGGGGTCAGCCAGAGGGCCAAGGGCAGTGCTGGCCGGTGCAGGTGGCAACCGGAGTCCCACCTCCCCCCATCTGCCCCACCATCCCTGAGCTTCTCCACTCCTCAGTTACTCAACATTTAGGGTGGTATTTGGGAGCTGGTGGGTCTTGGGGACGTCCCTGGGATCTTGATCAGAAGCCAAGCTGTGGGTGAGTACGTGTGACATGGACACATGGGTGTCTGGATGTGTCCTGGGCATGAGCTCGCATGCTCTCCACCCTCAAGGTGTCTTCCCAGGAGTGGGTCTATTCTCTCTCGCCTCCTTGAAGTTCTCAGACTTGGGAGCGGGAGCCACAAGTTCTGGCCACAGCTCTGACTTTAACACGCCCCCTGCGACCTTGATCTCTTCCCAGCCCTGTCTGGGCCTTTGTCCTACCTCTGAACTGGGGTATTGGATGGGCCGGGGTCTTGTGCCTGGCAAGTACGCAGGGTGGGTGCTCCTACCAGGTGCTCATCCCCAGGGGCAGATGGTGGACAGGGGTGGGGGTGGGAGGCAGGGTTAGAGGGATCAGTGTGGCTGGTCTCTCCTCAGCCCTGGCAGAACATCACCTACCTTGGGGCCCAGGGGCTGGAAGCCAGGCAAGGCGCTGACTGTCACACGCTGGTCATCCATGCGGCGGCCCTGGGTACTGGCCACCATGTCCATGAGACTGTCCATCTCGGGTGCAGGGCCGCTCTCTGCATGAAGCAGAGGCCGTGGGGAAGAACTCAGCCCGGATGGAGGCCCCCAACCCATCCCTCCACCCCCAATCACATTCTCCAGGAAGCATGCTCACATCTGCCCCCAACCCGCAGGCATCTCTGTCCCCACTTGCCTGCTCACTTTCTCAGACCCTTGCCCACTGGTCCCCCAGATGGGCACTTGCCCCATTCACACCCCCCCATCACGCCCACTTCCGCACACCTCCCTGCCCGCTCTCACGGCCCTGGGAGGCTGGGCCCGGCCCCGCCTGCAGTGAGCAGCGCTGCTCCTCCATCCGGCCGCCCTGCACGTGGCTCAGCAGGTTGAAGAAGCCCTCCTGGTCTGGGGAGGCCGCCTGGGGGGCACACACACTCAGTCCGGCCGGCCCCTCAGCTGGAGGAGCCCTCAACTCCCCTCCTGGCCGGCCAGCTTCCCCCCGACCCCCGGGCCTGCCCTGCCCCTTCTGTGGCTCTCACCATGGTGCCCGCCGATGTGCTGCTCTGCAGAGCTGCTCCAAATGAGACATGAGTCTCCTCAATCCCGGCCCCCGCCCCAGGGGCCACACCAGCAGTGCCATGTCACGTGGTGCTGCCCCAAGGGAGAGGTCCACCGTCCTAGATTGGGGCCTGACGGCGGGGTGGCCCGGGGGCTGGGACACGAGCCAGGGGAACGTCCCCCTGACAGCTCCTGAGTCCCAGCATCCCTCACCTCACAGGGGGTCAGCACTAAGAGCCCTGACCTCTGCCCTGGGGCTGGGTTAGGCACTCGGACCCTCCCGCCCACCAGCACCTTCTTGGGCAGCAACTGGGTCGGGGGTCCCAGGAGACTCACTTGCTAATTAGGTGCCCTACAAACTCATTAGCCTTGTCATTCACGGGTCCTTGAGTTGGTGGTGGGTGGGGCGGGGCCTGCTCACCTTGTCGCAGGAGGCCGAGCCCCCATCCTCCTCTTCCTGGTCCATCATTGTCCCTGCTCCCCTCCCCTGGGTCCTGTCCACCTCTCCACTGGCCTCTGCCCTGGCCCCGTGCCAGAGAAGGCTTTTTAAGAGACTGAGATGTGGCGGGGAGTGGATACCCAGCCCCAAATCCCCAGCTCACGCCCCATCTGCTCCCACCCAAGCTTAAGCTCCATAAAGATGATCCAGATAATCGTTTTTGCAGCGTGAGGCCAGGGCTGCCGTGGGGGGCAGGAGGCAGGGTGACCTGGGTTCGGACATTGTTGGCCCAGCAGGACTCGCTGGGCCCCAGGGACTCTCAGGTGGGGTGCAGCAGTCGGCCAAAGCAGCGCCCCCACAGTGGGGAGCTTGGGCTGGCTTGGTCCCATAGGGAGAGGACAGGGTCATAGGGCAGCCGAGGTGAGGTCTGAAGCTACCCAGCTTGCCCACCGATATCTGCCAGAAAGGCAGTTGCCATCCGCAGGTGGTGGGAGGAGGGGAAGCTGGGCCCGAGGACCCCTGAGGCACCACCGGCTGGCCTCTGTCACCTGGCCACCCTTCCTCTCTACTCACTGTCCCCTGGTCTGGTTGCCCACCCCCTACTCCCAGAACAGGAAGGTCTGGTAGCTCCTGTCTCCCCACCGCCAATGCCAGGTTGGTCTGTCTCCTCTGATCTTTCCCCCCAGCCCCGCCTAGGAACTGGAGGCTAGACTCCTGGGGAGGAAGGTGCCTGCCCCCTCCGCTGAGCAGCTATGGCTCTCCCTCAGTGCCCCAGGAGAGGAGGATGCTGGGAGGATCCCACATGCACCCCACCCCATCCCCAGGATGCCTTTCTGGAAACCAGTTAAAGTTTCTTCTCGGAATACACGGGCCACGCTCTCATCACCTCTGATCAATTGAAAAGCTTGGTCCTCCTCTCCAGGCAGCCCTCCACCATCCGGAGCCCCCATTCACACCCTCTCCATGGCCCCAAGACCCGGATGCCAACGTGATGTCCTGCTCCTCCCCGGACATATTAGTTTCCCAGGCTGCCTTAACAAAGTGTCCCAAACTGGGTAGCTTAGAGCAACAGACGTTTATTGTCATACAGCTCTGGAGGCCGGAAGTACAGAATCGAGGTGTTGGCAGGGCTATACTCCTGTAGCATGGAAGAGAGGGTCTTTCCTTGCCTCTCCCTGGGTTCTTGTGGCTGCCGGCAGTCCTTGGTGTCCCTTGGCTTGTAGCAGCAGGACTTCAGTCTCTGCCTCTGTTGTCACAGATGTCCCCCTTGTGTCCTTCACGTGGCTGTCATAAGACATGGACACCAGTCACGTTGCTTTAGGGATTCACCCTCCTGCAGCACGACCTCATCTTTACTAATTGCACCTGCAGAAACCCTATTTCCAAATAAGGGCACGTTCTAAGGTTCTGGGGGTTAGGACTTCAACACACTTTTCTGTTCTGTGGGCAGCCTTGCGCCCATAACAGCAGAAGACCTTGGTCACCCTCACTGAGTAAAATGAGAGGCGGCAGACCCTACAGAGCCTCACCACC